TGGGGTTATACAATCTCAACTAGAACGGGGGGGAATAGTCCCCAAACGTCATCTTTCCTTTTGTAGGAGACTGGAGTGTCTCGGAGTTGTTTGTGTAATTTGTTCCTTTGTTGTGTATTCACAACCCCCCGCCCCCCATAGAATTTATTTTGTGATTTCCTCTCTTGATTTTTCTGTTTGGCGCATTACATATTTGCTTTTCTGAGTGTCATTGAAGTCATCGTTGACTTACGTTTTCGGGGGCGGTCACTCTCGAGCAGAAGGCACGGAGACCGAGAAGGAGAAGGACGGGCCTGTACAGTAGTTGCTTGAGTTGTGTATAAGTTTTAAAAAGAACCAACACGACAGCTCATTTGTTTTCTGTTGTTTTGCTCCGCTGCAGAAACTGCCGTGTGACCGCAAGTGGAGCTGCACCGACGCTGCGCTGGTGCTAACACGCTCAGCGGCTTTGTACGTGTGACCGCGCCACAAAATTTGCTCCGGTGTAAAATATATCACAACAAAATACATCGGCGCAGCGCCGGAGCAAATGTGTGCCATGTGAACACCCCTTAATTTTGGTGATATAGAGCAGTGTGTTTCAAACACTGTGCCGCGGCACACTGGTTTGCCAAGAGTTATTATCCAAATTGTATGCCTGTGCGGTCTATCACCTGGCAGAGTAATCATGTAGTGCTCTAACATACCGGTAGGTAGCAGCAGCAGCTAACTAATTGCTTTGTGTTTAGGGACAAGCGAATTAGTGAAGCATGGATGCAGGACGATGGTGACGGTTTTATTGATTGTTAAATGTGTGAATGGTAACCTCACTTAACTCTGGTTAGTAAACATAACGCTAAAACTGATACCCTGAACTGCAAACTTGATAAGGTTTTACTGTTCAAAACTACACAGTGACAAGCTGAACCAAACTCAAATGCTAGGATGGAATCGCTATTACTTACAGACTGTACTCGGTTGGAAGTCCGCAGGTGGCTCGGTGTCGGCTGTAGAAGCGGTTCTCCAAGTCAATCCGGGTCTCCCCTATCAGGTCGTCCCCTCCCACCATATCATAGTCGTAGATGAGCACCGTGAGCAGAGACTCCTGAGGAAATGTCGCCTGCATCTCAAACGACCTGCGATAAGGTAGAACATATCAACCGGTGTGTGTTTTAGACAGCAAAACTGTCATGGTGGAGAATACAACCTTCCAAAGACGGGGTTCAGCTGTTTAGGGATGTAGTTCTCACGGTCTTTGATTTCATTTTTGCCGAGTTGAATGACGACGTAAGGGTCTGCTTTTCCGTCCGGGTCGGCTGGGTGCAGGTTTGATGCCTTCAGCGACAGCGCAATCAAGAACAGTACAACAACAAGGAGATCACAAAACAATACATTGAAACTCCTCTAAAACGAAACCTACTTGGGTGAAAATAGCCCCTAGTGTGAAAAAATCTTCATGCATTAAAACCATTCCCACTTTTCTGCTCCCCCTACAACGAAAAATCCCCCTGTTGCATTATACGAAATCTTTTTCTCTGCCCTTGCCTCGCAACGAGATTCACTGCAATGAAAACAAGCCTTTCGCAAAAGTCTAATCCAACCTCAGCCTACAGCGACTCCAACTGCTTAGCTCGGAAACGGAAATAGCAAACACCACACTGTGTGTGTGTGTGTGTGTGTGTGTGTATCTGAGATAAATTTGCTATAGTGAAAAGTCCCCTGTTGTAAAAAAATTCTTGCTGCAAACATGATTTCGTTGTAGAGGAGTTTCACTGTACAACTTACAGAGACGATGTAAACCCGGATCAGGACTTGAACGGGGGTGTTTTGCGGAATCCCTCTGTTGACTCTGAGATGTCCATCGTCTTCCTCCCAATATCCTTCCTCATCCTCTGTGAGCTTATACAAGCAGAAGCGCCCCTATGGAAAAGGGAAACTCACGTGGTGGAGTCGAGCAAATCCGGTAGAGATGGTAATTTGTCATGATCGTCTCACCTTGAACTTGCCGACGAACCTCTCCTCTGTCGAGCCGTCTTCCTCGCTGGCCTTCCCGCGGAACAGCTCGTATGTGCTGACCCAATCGTCGAAGGGTCCGAACTCTGCCTCCAACTCCTTGTTGTACAGCTGCAGAGTCCAAGGTTATGAACTTTGAGGTTAATGCACAAGAGGCTTTGAATTATCATTCCAACAAAGCGACTGTAAGTCTTTTTCCATCTTGATGCTGGTTAGATGAGTTTTTCTTTGCTGTATGGGTTTTATGACTATGAGTACCTGCAGCGTGGCCAGTTTGGTTGGTAGACTCAGACTCTGGTTCAGGTTCTGCTCTGACGTTCCTTTTCCCTTCTGTTTCTTTTTCTTGTTACCATCTGATGAGCTGCTCACTTACAGGACAAAAACACAAATCGAGCTTTGAGATGAGGATAAAAAAACAAAAACAAAACAAAACAACACAAACCAAAAAATATATAAGTTCCTTCCTGGGGCAAAACAGCCATGCCGTAACAGAACCACACCACAATTCGATCTAGCAACCTGAATCAATTATGACCTAATGGCAGGATCTTCATGCTTGTACCACACTTCTCATTTCTACGTTTGTCCTTACCTAAAGAGTCTATTCCATCGCTGAGCAAGCTGTGGTACGGCAAAGCTGTAATACACAACAATGCTACGTGGGTATGAGGCAGATGGCTGGGTCAACCTTCTGCCGGTCTTATACTATTCTGTCTTGTACCTTCATCCAAACAAGAAGGAACACGACAGCCAAGAAATGTACAGTACACGATTTCGAATAGAGCCTTCAAACAGAACCGTGTGTTCTGTGGCGCATCTACCCTTCAAAAAGCCAGCTGATTCTAATAATGTAGTCCGTTTCATACTTGTGTAACACTTTATCTGGATTTAAAGTTGACTATCTCGTTTAAAAATGCGTATCCAACATAAGGTTCATTTATGCGCCCTGTACTCGACAGGAGTATTCTAAACTGTTGTAAACGTTGCTGCCCTGACACTCCACCTTGATTTGCATCTGTAGAATTGCACATTTAGCAAAGATCTGCTAGGGTTCTCACATAAACCAAAGTATTATGAAACCTTTGTTTCTGTCTTGAAAGAGGAACCTGAAATCAAAGAGGTTCTTACCTTTTTCAAAGACTTGTGGGAAGGGAGATCCTTCTGTTTGTTTGGTCTGAAATGACAATAAGGCAGTTTATTTAATTTGAGGATTTAGTGGAACCTTGAATAGTCCAAAAAGAAAATATAACCCAAATTTTGAGAGAAATTTGAAGGCTTCACAAGACCAAATTTCAGCCAGCATCTAATGGGCCACAGTTTTTCATCAAGGCTATTGGACCACATACTTCCTAACCAAATCTTAAATAGGGACAAAATATATACTCCTGGTTTCATTTGGATGCATTTTTCATTGCACATACAAAAGATCCACTATCCTATCCCAACAACAAGGACTTTGAAGCAAACAATAAAAGAATGACATACGACAAAAAGTAAAATAAAAACATCCAATTCAAGGCACAAAACTGCTGAGTAAGAAAACAACATGACCGGCTTGAACTTATTTTGAGAATTTATTTTTTCCACGTTTTCACAAAAAATGAACTCAGTCAAAATTGTCATATTATTGAGGTACTATGTTGGTCCTTCATATCATTCCAAATCCACAAAAAAAAATATTAGGTTCACTCATGTTGTAGTGTTAGGCTGTATAAAGACCCTGCCTAAGCCATGTCTGCCATCTAGTGGTGAATGTTGGTATTACAACTTTAAACTACGATCGACTTTTACATATTAGCAGTTCGGCAGGTGCAGTTTCGCATAATCACAGACAGTTTTTTCCCCTTTTTGTTCAAGAAAGATCCGTCCATATTTCGGATTTTCCCAGGTTTTCCACTATTTTTTCCCTCTCCATTTCCAATCATTTGAATATTTATAAGCATTTTTGAAGAATTTGGGGGGGTTTGTCTGAATTATTATTTTTTTAATTCATTATTCAGGGAGCCACTCAAAGTGAGATGCAGCCCGCGGGGTGCCAGTTGCCCATCCCTGATCAAAGATGTGCTTGACAGGAAGAGCATCAAGTGAAGGTGTACAGTGGATATAAAGTGTCCTGGTTCAAATATCATAAGTCATACTTTCTTTGCCTTAAGTTGAGCAACAAACAGCAAATAATTGCATTTTGAATAGGGGAAGAGAGGTTCTCCCCCTCCAAAAAAAAAAACAAAAAAGTGAATTCACTATCTGTGAATATTGGGGATTCATTATACCTGTTTCTCTACAGACGCATAATACTTGGACCACCAGTCAATGACACACTCTGCTGACTCGTCCGCAACGGTCCGCCTTCTTCGCTTGGAGGAACGATGGATGCTCTTTCTGTGGCTATCCTACATTCCATACAAACACAAACATATCATGGATATCAACATAATGAGCCAAGCAAAATACCCATGTATCATCTGGGTCACCTTTTTCCTTTTGGGTGCTGTCTTTTCAGGGGTCGATTCCTCAACTGTGATAGCAACGTCGGGGGTGGTTGCTGACGTCACAGTGGAGCTCGTCTCTGTAGCAGGCTGCCAAGATTCTGTGGTTGACGAAAGACAAATCAGAGTTGATGATACCATCCCTGCCGCCTCCCCGAAAAAAAGCTATTTATTCATATCATATACTGGATTTATAAAATAATATTTGTAACAAAATGAAAATAGATGTAACTTAGCAGTTGGTGCATAATGCTAACACTCAAATCTAACAACCAAAAGGTAAATACAGTAAAATACACATGGTGATATAAAAAAGTAAACTAAAATATATACTTTACAGTAAATTCAGATTAAGAAATAAGAAGTTAGGATGGCAGAGGTATGGATTTATAAAATAATATTTGTAACAAAATGAAAATAGATGTAACTTAGCAGTTGGTGCATAATGCTAACACTCAAATCTAACAACCAAAAGGTAAATACAGTAAAATACACATGGTGATATAAAAAAGTAAACTAAAATATATACTTTACAGTAAATTCAGATTAAGAAATAAGAAGTTAGGATGGCAGAGGTAAATACATAAACGCACACACACACACACACGCACGCACGCATGCACACACACACACACACACACATGCGCGCACGCACACACACACACACACACACACACACACACACACACACACACACACACTTATTACAAGATATACACAGTGGTACCTCTACTTACGAAATTAATTGGTTC